TCGTTTGGTGGCACCATTTACTCTAGGTAGACGGCGACCGGTTTCGTTACCGGTTGGTACATTTCTTACAAACATTCAGCCAAAGGCCAGTGAAAGTTGAGACGGCAGCCGTGTTTTTATCGATGTTTGCCATCCTTATGTGAGCTATCGTAAAGTCATGGTTTGCCGGAGATATTCTATGAATGTAGGCTTGTATCGCAGGCTACAATTTAAAAACGGGTGACCAAATAATGAATAAGGTGCTAAATTATGATTTAATGCTGGGTAAGTTAAAAACAGACATTCCGTCCGAGTGGGACTCATTTAAAAAATCGAGGGGGTTCGCTAGAAAACAGGGGGGTTCGCTAGAAAAGGGGGGTTCGCCCGAACCATAAAAACCCCCCTTGGCTACGGGCCTGTGAATGTTTGTTTTTCTAAAATGTAAGTTGATGTTTTGTACATTTCTGTGAACTTGTGCATGTTCTTTAAAAAAATATATATTTAACTATTGTAAATATCATGGAAATTCAGTAATGTTAATTTAATTGAATAAACCGTTTAACTATGGGTTGCATATCAAATCAAGACTAGGTCTAAATTTTGATTCAATTTGCAAGCATAAGCTGATTGATGCGCCCACAGTAGATTTCTATGTATAATCTACTAGGCCTATTTGATGAACTTTCAACTACGCCACACCCCTTAGATATTGTTCCAAAGAATTTACAAAATGGCATAGCAGCGTAAACGTACCTAAACGTGTTTGCAAGGCATGCGCGTATTGCAGACCCTTTTCTGATTGTGCAGTTGTCAGTAGCATACGAAGCTTACCTTTGGAAATGTGCTGTAAACATCTTCATCTAAATTGATACTGAGGTCCTTCGACTCGAAATACATTTTTATTTGTTGCCCAACTTCCATGTTTTCCTTGGTGGCTACTAATACACTGGGATCAGCATATCCTTCCAGTATTGATCTGTAGAATACGGTGAGAAATGCAAAGGTTACATGATTGTGTACCAAATTATAATGCACATTTTACTGAATTCTCCCCAGGGACCTGAGTATGTGGTCCATAATATAATATTGTAATATAATGTTGTTTTTCCCAGTTTCGCTTCTTCCTTTCTTTTGTGCATACTTCCTCTCTCTCTATCATTCTTTGTTCCCCTGTTCTATTTAAAGACATATGAACTGAAATTTTACTCCATGTGCTCGTCTTCCTCCACCACCATACAATCTGCCCATTGGTGGACATTGTGTCGTGTCTTTATTTTTTAAATTTTTGTTAAATGTTTATATTCTATACACAAGCAAATACGTAGAAATTAGTGTTCGTTAAAAAGCCAACTGCATTAATTAAAAATATTAACTGTATTTCTTCCGGTATGCTAGATATTCGTGGTTGGTTACCAGCGCAAACTATTAATATCTTTAATGCAGTAAAAATGTAATTGTTCAAAATTCCAGACATTATTTTTAAACCATTAAATAATAATAATAATAATAATAATAATACAATACGATAAATAATGCTAATAATGCTAATAATAATCTCATAGTTATATTTCTGATAAAAACAATAATTTTTATTTTTATTTCGATGTGGTTGTGCGTCATA